GCATATTTTGTGCTTCTTGGTTCTTGAGAGAACTTTTTGAACTTATCAAATATTTTTCTTGTGGTGTTCAACAATCGAACTTATCATTGAGATTAATGGGCGATTCTTGATAATCTTGGCATGGCGTTCTTCATCTTCTGTAGTTCTTGATTCGCGTCTTGATAGACAATGGGTTAAGGCTCAACAATCTTGCGTCTGGAAGATATTAGGGTTGTGATCCGCATTTGGTGTTGGGTCTCGTCGTGTCGTTGGCGAGGTTCATATCACTTTCCCACGAGTGACTCAGAACGGTAGGCAAAATCAACGTTGTTTTTTCGTGAAGCATTCTTCAGCTGCGGAGAGCGAGGACACAACAACGGCGTTGCGGGTTCCAAACCGAAGGAGGAATGCGTCACCGTATGCGGTGCAGAGTTCGGCGAAGTGGTTGATTTAGGAGATCGAGATGGCCTATAATTGGTAGCTGCGAGGGAGGACTTGGTGAAAGGCTTTTAGAGATTGCGTGTTTTTTTTTTTTTGGTGAGGATAAATTGTGTGATTAAGAGAATTAGAAAGGAGATTAAGAAAACTGGAAGGTTGGACCAGAAAGATAATTCCAGTTCCATATTTGGTGATTAATATTCCTACGGCTCGAGAGGATGCACTACTAGTAGTCAATCTAAATCTGTTAAAATGGTTCTCAGCTGTCCAACTCTATTATAATTTCTTGCTTTCTGTTCTTGATTAGTTGAAAGACATACCAACGATTAATTCAATGTCACAATTCTGCAGAATTTTTAGTTAGCATATTTCGACATGCTTCGGTCCTATGCAACACCAAGTCCTTGCAAAATTTTGTAAATTTTCAAGACATGGTAGGGTCAAGGGGTTTTCTCTGTTTATTTTTTATATTGAAGCATTGGAAGACAAGCCCATGTGATCTCTCTCTCTCTCTCTCATGAATCCCTTTTCTCTCACTTGAACCACCAAAGTCTCGCTCCACCATTCATTCCAAATCAACATAATATATCCTTCTTTATATTCATGGTATAAATAAGCATGTGAATTGAGGTTAAGAAGCAAGACAATCTCACCACACAAGCAAGAACTTTCCTTGTTTTCAACTTCTTTTGAGATCTTCTCTCCACTTCTCCATTCTCAGCCTTTCTTGATTTTCCTCTATACAGATATACAACAATGGGTTTCCGTTTGCCACGAGTAGTTCCCGCAAAGAAATTTCTTCGGCGATCTTTCTCCAATTCAAATAAAGCGGCTTCATCGGCACTCGATGTCCCAAAAGGCCATTTTGCAGTTTATGTTGGAGAGGATGAAAAGAAGCGGTTTGTAGTTCCCTTGTCACTATTGAACCAAGCTTTTTTTCAAGACTTGCTAGTTCAAGCTGAAGATGAATATGGATTTGATCATCCAATGGGGGCTCTAACAATTCCCTGCAGAGAAGATGTGTTTCTTGATCTCATCTCAAACTTGAATGCTTCATGAGAGTGACTAGGATCAGACAGATTCATAACTAACAATTTTGTAAAGTTGACACTGTCAATATAGTATACAGTTTTTCTACTTTTTTTTATTTTTTTCCTTGTAGAGCGGAAAATGGTTCCCAGAATGAGATATGTACAAAGAAGTTTATTGGACAGATTAATATCAAATATTTTATGAAAATATTTTTTCTATTTCTTTATAATATTTGTTAGTGAATTGATTTTGACATCATTTTTATTCATCTCAACATGTTCTATTTTTCCCTTAAAATGTTCAACAACAGTGACTATTTAAGTTCAGTAGATGCAGCAGTGTGTTTGTAATTTGTTCCCAAATATTCTTTTGCACAATAAAAAATTCAGGTCCTTTAGGATTTCAACTTAGTGCAGCATATCTCCTCTTAGAAGTTTAGTATACGGACAGAAATTAATGGTCCAATATAGTTGGAATAATTTCTTTTTATGATCATCACCATATATATTCTCGACTTAATTACTAATAACAACAACAACAAGCCTTAATCCCAACTTAATTGGGGTCGGCTATATGGATTTCACTTTTCTACACGGCTTTGTTCGAAATTAAACTTTCCTGAAGGCCTAGATCTAGAATGTCTTTCCTAACGACTTCGGTCCACGTAATTCTTAGTCTACCCCTCCCTCTCTTAGTATTAGGTATAAGAATGTCCTCCCAAGCACGAACTGGTGCTTCTAACGGTTTATGTTGGACATACTAAATTACTAATATTGAAAAAAAAAAAAAAACTTAAAAATCCAAGCTTAGCTGTTGGTTTTAGTACTGCAGAAGAACATCACATGTTATGTTGGTTTGGTGTTTCTACTCAAGCCATCATCCAAAAATTGAGAAAGGGATAAGATGTTTGTTAATTGATCTAAGCAAAAGGTCAAATACTTTGTTTTTGGTAGGACCTTAGCAGAGTTAGCCAAACTTTAGTGAAATAATAACTATCAGACACTCTGATCCACAAAATAGTATGTGGGCCAAATAATTTGTTGAATCAGTTGGTAGAAGGAGAAGTACATGTCTTAACCTTGTCTTTCAAACAAAAACATTTCCTATTGGCATGCTCATAATTTTATGATAGATTAGGAAGGCAAATCCATGTGATATATCTTGAATTGCTGTCTCTCCAGATTTTTCATATATTTATTTGCTTTTTGGTTGATATCTAATGAGCTAACAATTTTTAGTAGACTCCCAAATGCAATTAGACAATTAATTTCATAATACAGAGTCCTGCAAAGTTGGTAGCTAGCATATAAACATGCTTGGGTCACAAGAAACAACAACTTCAAGCTAAATTTGAAGTTTACAATGGAAGAGGTGGGACAAAGTGTTTCCCCTATTAGTCCGAATGATAATAAAGAGTTGAAAGACAAACCCATGTGATCTCTCATGCGTCATTATCTATTACTCAACCCAGCAGAGAGCCTTGCTCCACCATTCATTCAAAGCAACAGAGGATATCCTTCTTTAATGTTTTTATTTATAAATAAGCCTTCACTTAGAGGCTAACCATTCACTACACAAGCAAAGCTTTCCTTTTCTCGACATCCTTTGAGATCTTCTCTTCATTTCCCTATACAACAATGGGTTTCCGTTTGCCACGAGTGGTTCCGGCAAAGAAATTTCTTCAACGATCCTTCTCCAATTCAAACAAAGCAGCTTCAATGGCAGTAGATGTCCCCAAAGGCCATTTCGCAGTTTATGTCGGAGAGCATGAAAAGAAGCGGTATGTTGTTCCTTTGTCATTGTTGAACCAACCGTCATTTCAAGACTTGCTTATTCAAGCCGAAGAAGAATATGGATTTGATCATCCAACGGGGGGTCTAACAATTCCCTGCAGAGAAGATGCATTTGTTGATCTTGTTTCAAGCTTAAATGCCTCACCAAATTGACCAAAATTAG